GGATGATACTTACATTACTTGGGCGGGTAATGAGAATTTGGCCTTCATAAAAAAGTTATTGCACTAAACCTGTAGGTAAATATTAGAACCAGAACATTTGCTAAGTAAGAGTGGGTTTGATAATAAAGTTGGCAGTATCTCCACCCAGGACAGGACCTCTGTAATTCCCATCCTGGGAAATTAACCATTTGAGCTTAAGAAGGTTGTACCCCCTTCATGACCAGGCCATTTTTCACTATTTAGCACTGTGCTACTTTAACTGGTAATTGCGTGGTCATGCAACACTATACTTAAAATAAATTTACATTATTTTTTTCACACAAATGGAGATATCTTTTGGTGGTATTTGATCACCACTGGGTATTTATTTTTTGCTATATAAACAAAAAAAAACACAAAACCGATATTTTTGTACTTTCTGCTTTAAAACACATTAAATAAAAAGTGTGTATATGGGAATGTTTCACCATTCTTTCAGAAGCGTATTTGTGAGGTCAGGCACTAATGTCAGATGAGAAGGCCTGGTTCGCAGTCTCTGCTCTAATTCATCCCAAAGGTGTTCTGTCAGGTTGAGGTCAGGACTCTGTGCAGACCAGTCATGTTCCTCCACCCCATACTCGCTCATCCATGTCTTTATGGACCTTACTTTGTGCACTGGTGTGCAGTCATGTTGGATCAGAAAGGGGTCATCCCCAAAGTGTTCCCACAAAGTTGGGAGCATGAAATTGTTCAAAATGTCTTGGTATGTCTTAGTAGCATAGGGACAAAGAGCAGAGAGATAGACTCTCTTTCCCATTCTTAGATTCTTAGCCTGAGCCTAGGAGTCTGTGTCTACAGGGGTTCAGGGTTTCTGCCAGGACTGCTGCTTTTGGGTCTGCCATGTACATTCAAAAGCCCAGTACCACATGTTGCCTAACTAGGTTGAGCGTGATTAAAGAACCCCAAAACTGACTGTTTCTGACTGCAGAGTATGTTCTGGTATCCTTTTCCTGTCTGCAGTTGTTCCAAAGTGTGCCAGTGTTCCAGTCCTCCTGCTGTTGCAGTACCCTACTGGACCATGTGCTGCTGGAGAATGGGTTGCTGTGTTGCAGGAACCCATAGAAAGGATTGCCATCCAATGCGGGCTTGACAGGTAGGTTCAAGGTTGCACTTTGGTTCAATTGCACAATCACTCGGAGTGGAAAAGTGAATACAAGACTGGACAGTGACCAAGTGGACCTCACCACAGTGCCAGCTTGGGCAGAGGCTTGTTGACCACCATAGCTTGTTATTGTTGATACTGTTTGTGGTTGTGAAGTGTTCTTGTGCAATGGGACAGTATTAATTCTCTGCACAGTGGAATAAAAAGCTCCAATATGGAATGGTAGCACTCTACAGCTAGCAAAGACCCCAACACCAACATGGCTAAGCCCGTATTTTACTGGACAGTGATTTAGACAGGGCCTATTGCTCCTAGATAGGTCTTACAAAACCATTATTGTGCCTGATTTCAAACTATGATGTTCTCACATTGCTGTCTTTCTATTTTTTTATTTAGTTTCAAGCTCTTTATATTATGGGAGAGTTAGTTTAACCTCTTGGCGCCGGCGCTTTCCATTTTTAAGGGTTTCAGAAGGCAGGAGGTGGGCGGGGTTTTAAGGTCATGTGACCGCTGTGAATTGCTGTCACGGCGGTCACATGATCGGGACCTTTCCGTGAGTACCGGACATGTGTGCTGGGAGCACGCAGGGCACGTGCTCTCAGCGCATACGTTTTTTTTTATTGTACGCAAATGTGCGGCCGCTCGGCGTCAAGGCCCAGACGCCGAGAGGCCGCACATTTGCGTGTGTTTGGCGTGAAAAGGTTAAAGGTGGTGGGTAACCCCTGCAGGAAAATACATCATATTACAAAACAATAGTGCAGCGTTAAGATAAATTAAAATGTGTGTGCAATACAATAGTGCAATGCAAATATATCAAACTCTTATGTGTCACCACAAATTGAAAGAATAAAGGAATCCAAACGTGAAGTCAAAAACAGTGAATTCAGTGGTTCTTCAATTATGAGGGAAATGACAGATGTTGATGTCAAAGGCCACCAAAACCTCTTAATGATGAACCACACAGCACCCTGATGTACAACAAAGGGAGGCTTACCAGAATCATATGACCCCCAATTAAGAGTGGTCAACCAGCACTTGTATATCAACCCAACATATCTAGCTTTCCTCAAAACCACATGTCAAACGATGGTACTGCTGTGTTATATCAGATAAAATGAAAAGATGACAATCAGGCACTTCATATCATGTGGACAACCTGTATTCCAAAATCCAAGATGCCTGCAGCAAGATTACATATGTGTAGTGGTGTGTGTTCCGTCTCTGCCCTACTAGTTTTGTAAAAATATTACGGGATCAGGAGCGATGTACTTCCTCATAATCGAAGAACCACCGAATTCACTGTTTTTGGCTTCACATTTGGATTCCTTTTTTCTTTCAATTTGTGGTGACACAAGGGTTTGATATATTTGCATTGCACTATTGTATTGCACACACATTTTAATGTATTTTAGTGCTGCACTATTGTTTTGTGATGTTTTTTATACTATGTATTATGGTGTCGTGCTAGCTAATAAATTTTTGACATCCAACGGAGTCCTAGCACGTTTTTTTTTGTTCTCATTTAAAATACATCATATTCACTAGTAAGAGATACAGAAATCTAATGGATTACAGGATAGCCCAGTACTGATCCTTAACAGTTTTATTCAGAAACATTACAGCTATAAAGTACAACATATCAAAAGTGATATTCAAAGTGACATAACATTTAAAAAGCAGACCAGCTAAAATGCATAGTTTACACAACAAACATGTTGCTTCTTAGCTGTCTTTCATTAGTAATTGAGCTTCGCACATACTAAGTGTGGCAAAGGGACTAAAGTGAATCCAGTGCCAGGCTTCAGACTTATATCATCTCTGGAGACTCCAGGAGGTGGGTAGAAAGTGAAGGTTTGCAGAAGGCCAGTAAAAACAGGAAAAGTTTCATTCTGGCTAAACTTTCCCTAACACAAGCCCTTCTTCCTATAAAAAAAATGCAGAAGAAAAAAAAGTCAACTGAGGACTTTTAGGCTTAGGGAGGAGCCTTGCCGCACTGACGTTACGCCTCCGAGGCCACACCTGGGTCCGGCGGCCATCTTTGACATCTTACATGTTGCTGGAATAACCTGTCAGCCTGCCAATACAAATTTGTAAGCTGAATTTGGCAATTGTATGTCAGCCTGCTGTTTGCATGTCAGCCTGCTGACACAACTTTAGCAGAACTTTGACCTGAACATTTTAGCTGAACGTGACCATTGAATGTAAGATGGTTTTTTGCTTTACCTCTATGGATATCTGCACTGGATGTATTCCATAAGCCAAATAAATATACTACACTATCAGTACACCCTTGTTTTGGTGGCTTCAATTTTTTGAGCCATTTAAGGTGGAGTGTAGTACCTTTGGTACTAAGAGAGGTAAAGTGGCTGGATTCACCTAAGGAGCTATACCTGTGTCCCTGTGTGCTGGACTGGTTTGCTGCGAGGTCTGGAGTGCGGTCCGGTGTGTGTGTGCCATTGGAGCCCCCCCTCCCCCAGGTTGTGACCAGATCCTTGATGACCACCTGGGTCCCTCCCCCTTTTCAGATATGATATTGATATGCGCATTAAGCTTGCGCTTCTGGTAAGTGCAAGCATACCTCATTTCTTACAATACAGAAGTCACCTGCACTGGATTTTAGAGTATTGAACATTTCATCGAATTTTAGGCGGTTTTCTCATCCATTCACCAATTCACTGGACTACATGTGTTTATATGCTCTAAGGCATTTTTTTACTTTTAGAGATTACCTTTTTTATTTTGACATTGTTTTATAATATCCACAACTGATTTGTCACTTTATTTATGCTCATCCATTCACCATTGCACTTGTCACTTTGTTGACTTTTTGTTATTCACCAATTTTGCGCAAACTTCAATTTTTGCGTTTTATGCACTCTGTCACCTTATCCTTAGCGCTGCATATATATTTTATGATCCTGGTTATCTGACTGCCCTGACATTTTGCCTGTGTGACCACAACCTTGGCTAATGACTTTGTACCACACTTCATTTTTGCATGCTGTCAGCTGTTGCCACTCTATAACTGAGAGCTGCACCCTGTGAGCAGTCCAGAGCAAAGCCCATCATCCTTGCAGAGTGTTTCGGTGTTTCTCAAAATCTGCACTACAGCCCTTTTTAGGGCTAACATTTGCCTGGTAACACAGAGGGTCCCCTATCTCTGTAAAACATTCATGCTTGGATCATCCAAGAGCGCATGTTTATGCCTATGGAGGAGGGAAGGGTGGGAAAATGTAAAAACCATGCTGATATTGGTCTCTTTAAAAATAAAAAGATACCCATCCAGGAAAATCCAGCACAACTGACTGATTTTTGTTTGTCCAGCAAACAGTAGATCAGGGGTTCCTGGAGAAACAGCATAGCACCCAATTGTTTTCTGATTTGACCATAACTGTTTGGATAGACTTGCTTGTAGACATCTTAACATTGTTATATCCTTGCAGTACCAAGGCTTTTGATAGCACAGTTATGCTCCTGTCAGCATTGCTTCAAAACGGTAATTGTAGTTTAAGAACCAATTACAGTCCAACAGTAGACAGGCTGTGTGCTGCCAAAATAAATAGGCAATAGGTGTTTATTTTCCCCCAAAACGTGTGCGTTGAACAACCTGTACTCAAACTGGCCAGTGCAGTGTTACCATTCCCTGAGTACTGTATGCAGCCAAAAAGAGCAGCCTTGAACACAAGGTCGGGGGGCTGTCAGTTGGCTTACAGTTAAAAAGATTTTATCCTTACTTCCTTTTAGAAATTTCCAATTTCCTGAATCAGCCATTATTGACTGTAGAGAGGGCTTGAAGGAGGAGAAAAATGATGTAACAATAGTGACCTACCTGCAGAGAAGGGCATAAATGCTTCTTGTTTTACAAACTTCCGCTTAGCATCCAAAAAGTGATTTGGGTTAAATGCATAAGGAGTCTTCCACTGAGTCTTGTCATACAAAACAGATATAAGGAAAGGGATGACCTCTGTACCCTACAAAGGAAGGTAAGAGTTCTTGTCAAGGTCCTACCTTTCCTCAGGGCTTGTGCTGCTCCATGTGCTGGCATCCATCTTAGGTGTCTGCAAAGCATTGTGGGATCCTTTATGCTTTCAGCCCCCTGCAGCTCCTCCCCCAGGAGGTGGCGGCTTATCACATATAAGTCTGCTGTTTGTAGCTGTCCATTGCATTCGTGTCCTGTCTGTTGCACAGCAGCAAGCTCCTGTTTAGTTTCTCATTGCTCTCCTGAATACCGACTCGGCTTGGCAAGACTCCTTCCTGGCTTCTGTCCCCGGCTCTGGCGACCATCCTTCCTGGCTTCTGACCCCGGCTCTGGCGATCATCCTTCCTGGCTTCTGACCCCGGCTCTGGCGATCATCCTTCCTGGCTACTGTTCTACCAAGTCATCCGCTGTTGCTGTTGGACTTGCATAGACTCTGTCTTGTTTTTGTATAATAAACCTACCTTTAATTGCACCTCCTTGTGTGTCTGGCTCCTCGCTCCCTGACAGTTCTGTTACCTTCTTGGTACATATCCCTCTTCGTTTTGGCTTAGTTGGTGTGGAGGAAAGGCTGGCATTACTATAGATGAATACTACCGCACAATATAACAGAAAGGGAACATGGCTGATTCATTTGCTGAACACATAGCTCCTTATAAAGTCTGCCTTGCTGGAGGATTCTCCAAATCAGGGGCGGACTGACAACTCATGTGGCCCCGGCAATAGGGGATTACGGGGCCCCCGTGTCCTCGCCCACACCCCAAAAAGCCTATGAAAAAGCCAATGAAAGGTACCAGGGGCATCTCATGGGGTCCCCTACTGACCCTGGGCCCTCGGGCAGTGCCGGAGTGTTCGAATGGTCAGTTCGCCCCCGCTCCAAACATACCAATGCACCAAAAATATGTTATCCCAAGTGACTTAAACAAAGTTACCAACCACATCTGACACATAGCCTTGCCCAATCAGAAGGCAGTACCATACTTGTGCTTTGGAAACCATGCTCTCTCTGTTGTTGATCACAAAGGAGAACCACATTGCATAAGAATAGCAGGCTATGAGGCAGTTGTGGGGTTTAGCAGCACAATGGATTCTGCATTGTCTGGCTGGATAATGATTTATTTAGACAGCTATGACATTTGTGGTTTGATTTCTTCTTTAATTCTTTATTTAAGACAATGGCAATGGTACCAGCATGTTAACACACATTACAGTCTTTCTGGCATAGCTGACAATCAGCAAAAGCACACTGTTAGACTTCATATATTATAACCTTTTTGTGATAGAATTGAATAAGAAACTAATATTCAAATTAATATATCATATATACTCAATAATAATAATAATATACTCAAAACATATAAAAAAATATTTTCCAAAAAATTGAAAAGAAAAAAATGGTCCAATGAAAAACAGTGTCCCAATAAAAAAAAACAGTGTCCAAAAAAAAGTCCCAAATTTTCAAACTTTATGATCCAATAGGAAGGAATCCTATTTCATCCCGTGATACCTCAAAGAAAAATAAAATAGATACTCTAATGCATTACTTTTAAAACAATATATATTCACTCAGTGAAGAACACAAAAAAATTGTGCAAAAACTATATATATATATCTCGTGCACATATAAATTAACTGTGACCACTCCGTGAACACTGCAACACTGTGAATCCACCGACACCAATAGTATTACATACTATTACCCTCTGTATCTATATAATCAGCATTCAATCAGAGATCTTCTATCTCTTTTTGTCTTTTGAGGACCTTGGAAAATTTCTTTGGAGAGGAAATAGAAGATCTCTGATTGAATGCTGATTATATAGATACAGAGGGTAATAGTATGTAATACTATTGGTGTCGGTGGATTCACAGTGTTGCAGTGTTCACGGAGTGGTCACAGTTAATTTATATGTGCACGAGATATATATATATAGTTTTTGCACAATTTTTTTGTGTTCTTCACTGAGTGAATATATATTGTTTTAAAAGTAATGCACTAGAGTATCTATTTTATTTTTCTTTGAGGTATCACGGGATGAAATAGGATTCCTTCCTATTGGATCATAAAGTTTGAAAATTTGGGACTTTTTTTTGGACACTGTTTTTTTATTGGGACACTGTTTTTCATTGGACCATTTTTTTCTTTTCAATTTTTTGGAAAATATTTTTTTATATGTTTTGAGTATATTATTATTATTATTGAGTATATATGATATATTAATTTGAATATTAGTTTCTTATTCAATTCTATCACAAAAAGGTTATAATATATGATTACTGCACTTTCTAGGGAGAAAGTATGACTTTTTGAGAAATTTTGGGGTGGAGGAGGTTATACACTGATTTACACTGTTAGACTTGATAGGAATATGATAAAGGCAAATTTTCAACACTAGAGAACTTGGCATACCATTGATGCATTGTCGTTTTGTCTGATATCCATTAGTTGCTCTACAAAAATCAGAAAAATAGTAGTGTGCACCAGTGTCATTTGATTCTTTTCTCAAGTTAAGAGGAGTAAGGGTGTAAGGGCTAAGATAGGCAGCCATCGGTTTTAGGGAATGGTGGCCCCAGTAGGGTGCCCAATTGCAGGGTAGATTGAGGGACTACTGGGGTGGTGTAATATGCAGGAGGATAAAAAGAGAGAGAAGTCGAGAGGGAATGTATGCAAATAGGTTTGATTTACCAACGTAGCACAGAAGGACTGGACACTGGCAAACAAAAAACCTATTAGTCATCCAAGTATATTCCCTTTCACTCCAATCATGCTTCAGTTTCATGCTAGTGTCATAGGACAATACATATATTTCTCCTCAGAGAACCGCAAATCCATTTTACTTGAAGTTTCTTCATTTTTTCATCAAGATGTTTTATCTTCAATCCAGATTATTCCCTTCTACTCTGCAGAGCCATGAGACATCATCTTGCAGTTTTCTAGATGGGCTCATCCTCATCACTGCCTCGAAGGACGTACCTGGACCTCAGCAAGATGAAGATGCGGAGCTCGCCTGTAATGTGACCTTCAGGCACTGTGCTCTGTTTGCGGTGCTCTCCAGGCACATATTGTCCTGTGCTAGTTAACAGCAGACCGCTTTGCAAGTCCAGGACTATGATAAAACCGCTGATGTTATCTTTCTTCTGAAGACTTTCTTTGGAGTATTCCCACCTGTGGGGTGAATACTTTCTCTCACATGTTTCACTACATCCTGCATTGACACTCTCCTTTACCTTCATGGTGTGTTTGTTCTGCCAACAATCCACCTCTGTGGAAAAATATTGGAGTTTGTCCCTTTTTTTTGGACTTTTGGCATGTGTTAATTATGCTGTGCATGTTCCCCTTATAGGTTAATGCTCTGGGGATTAGTGCTGCAAAACTTCTCAATGTGTTGCAGACACTCTGCCAACACGGCTCTGACTCTTTTCAATGTATCTGTGCTGGTACACTTATTGTGTAACAATGTAATGCAATGCATTGTTATGGTTCCTGTTAATATACTGCCATCTTGTGGATATTTTGGCTATGCCACCTTCCTTTTCTGTCTTTCACCCTGTGTCCCTCCCACTTGTGATGTATTTCTTCTTCCTTTTTCACACTGTCTTCTTGGAATGAACATGGCCACTTGTCTCTAGGCCACATGTAATCTGCTTGCATCCAGGAACACATTACCATGTTTTGACCTGCAAATACCGTCCTTTCATTCATCTGCTACATCTTGTTGATTGATGTACCATCTGCCTTACAATAAAGATCTGTGGATGAGAAAAACAGGTGTTTGGTGAATTCAGCTATCTAATAAAGACTGTCCGCAGTGATTGCATCTGCTCATACAGGGCAGGCATAGAGGTCTCAGCAAGGGATAAGTCACTAATACAACTGTTAGAGTCAGAATAGTATCATACTTCCTCTGTAATGTTTACTGAGTCACTTTCACTGTGCCCACACCCAGCCTGTTCTAACTTGCATCTGTCGGCGCATACATAGTGGATTATTTGCTGCGCCAGTCGGGCCTATGTCGAATTCACTCAGGGCTGCTGTTAGAAACCAAGGGCCCCATACAGCCAACCTGCCAGCCCCCCCCCCAAAAAAAAAACTCCCCCCCACAGTTTATTATACTTCACTTCTGAATGTAAACAGCAAGTGATCGGTACTGATTGCTCATTGTGTTCATTCAGGAAAGGAAGGGGTTGGTAAATATGACATATTTACTGGAACCTTCCCCCACTTCCCATCCTGAAGGATCCTATTGTGCTAGTGGGAAGGGAAGGAAAGGAGGGTAGCCGGCAGCACTATGGGGGCACACAGGGGCACCTGGGCAGCAGGGGGAAATATATGGTGCACAAGAAGGGTAATGTGAGGCAATTACTGGAACCGATCCCCTGTATGGCTCTCTCTGCAACAGCTGAAAGTCGACAGGAGGGGGAGGATAAGAAGTCCGTTTTCAGCAGCTGCAGAAACAGCCATACATGGGATTGTTTTCAGTAATCACCCCTCCGCTGTTCCAATCACCCTCCCTGCCTAAATCTGATTCACCCAGCTGCCTGGGCCCCACTGTTGGCTTGGGCCCCCTACAGGATGACTGATGGTACCCCCTTTCACACGGTCCTGCATGCACTCTGCCTGCCCTGATGTGTGGCCATCAGGCGTGTGCTCACTGGGTTATTTCCATGCATAATTGTGGTCTTGCACCATATAGTGTGTCACAGCTGTTGGGCCCATGGCATTACACTGCTTTCTCACCTCTTCAGAGTGAAGTACCTCACCGCCACAGTGCTTTCAGCAACGGCTTCTTAAACAGTTCTCCTTGCTGCTGTCTACTGTGATACGGTTGCACCCAGCCATATAATCCCTCACCCCCTGTTTAGCAGCTGATTTTTGTGCCAACTGACTTTACTGTATTGTCCAGAGAGGGATTTTCTGCAGCTGTCAGATTGTATATAAAAAATCTCTGCCATTATAG